CTACTAGTAACAAGTGCCTTGCTACTAGTAACAAGTGCCTTGCTACTAGTAACAAGTGCCTTGCTACTAGTAACAATAAGAATTTAATTAGAATTGTAATTACCGAGTAAGGCCCTTCCGCTCCCAGCCGACGACCGAACCACAACAGAATTCGTTTCTTTGGATGTTCAACGGGAAGCCTAGGGATCTTCAACATTGAAATGACGGAACAAAACAACTAAAAGCACCTTCTCTCGGCAGAAACGACAGTTTCCTTTGGATCCTTCTCAGTCTCATCAGGCGGCTTCAGCAGTGCTCTTTCCTAAGGAAAGACTTCTTGTCGGAACCAAAACAACAAGATGTTACAGGAGTGTAACGAAGTGTAACTGAGTGTAGGAAACACTCAGAAATCTGGATGCACTAGTCATACTTCTGTGACTGAAAACTGTCAACATTTCACCGATTTGCGTGAATATTTTATTGCGCTTGGCCGAATGCGCGTCCAAGGGTCGAAAGCGTCTTGGTCCCTGCCTTCAGATGCAGCATCGGCAAATGCCTGCAAGAGCTTAGTCCAATGCGCATAGATCAACGAAAGCCCCGGAAACTGCAAGACTAACGCGGGCAGATGCCTGGTGGGAAGCATCATTCTCCCTTTGTGCTGCCTGTTGCTCCTTGACCTCAGTGTGACACCCAAATTGGTATGGTGACAATAAACCCTATGTCAATCCACGATGCTTCACACCGACCCAGCTCCAGGGGCCCCGCGTGATCACTTACATACGCTTTCAGGTTCCGTTCATGCAAGTCATGAGCTTCTGCCTGTGAGAGCGCATGAGAACTTTGGTGGGCTCAACAAACTTGTGGAACCCAAATCCCGCCTTCGCATGCCCTTGCCATGCGTGGAACCAATGCGCTTCTTTTTCCAAGTCTTGTCTTTGAGTCGAATCCTGAGCATGGAACGACACTTCCTCAATGCCTGGTCTCCTTGATTCGACAATCCATCTCTCTCTCTCTCTCTCTCTCTCCATCTCTCTATCTCTAACTCTATCTATCTGTCTATCTGTCTATCGTCTGTATGATAATAGTATCTCTAGCTCTATCTCTATCTCTCTCTTTTTCCGCAGCACGGGTGAAATCCATGAGCTGTCAATGCCAGCTGCCAGCACTCACTATGAACGGCGCACAGGACTTCATGATAGAAGGCACATGACAATGGTATGGCTGGTATGGTCTGGTATGGAGTTGCTTCCAAAAACAAGCTACAGAAAATGTCAGCAAAGCCTGGCATCCCTTTCTTGGGTTCTTGGGGCCCCAGGCCACCGGATACTTCAGAGCTTCAGTCTGCAACTTCTGGGCCATGCCACCCACCACTTCAGCCTGCTCTTCTTCCAGCCGTGCGATCCTCAGGATATATTTGACCATTCTGATGACGGAGTTCGATTCTATGCTACTTTCCATTGAAAAGCACTTAGGCCGCCTAGGCCTGCAAAATCTCCCACATGCTGCTGCTGTGTACCACTCGCATGTGTGTGTGTGTGTGTACCGCTTGGAAATTGATGTATTTACCTGCATCTGAAAATCAACTTCACTTTCTTTAAAAGCTTCAAACGGTTATTGTATGCCCTGCGGGCCCTGCGAGTCTAGAGCACCCGAAAAGGGTTTCACAGACTCGCCTTCACTTTGCCAACTCGGTGACCAACCCGACCCCACACGGAGAAAGAAGGACACCGAAACCGACACCGAAACCCGCTCGGCAAAGGCCGCTTCCGAGTGGCTCGTCCTCAGACCGCTCGATGTCGTTCTCGGCGCGGTGCTGGACCTGGTGGATCGTGTGAAGGTCCTCATCGTCGTGTTCCTCCTTGACCCCACATCTGCACCGCATCAGGAAACAAACGCAAAAAAAACAAAGATCCCAAGGGATTGTTGATACCTTGCCAGATTCATCCAACGGCCAGTCGTGACTGGGAAGGGTTGGGCCCACGCTTCTGTGTCAAGATCACCCATCTGCTCCCGAATCCTCGTTGCGCTCTACATCGATGGCTTTCCTGACGAGTCAGTCTTGAAAGCGTTGCGGCAGAAATCCCCGGCATCTGTGCCACTCAGAAAAGATGTTGTTTTATTGGGAGGGGGGGGGTAGGCCGTAGAGAAGGGTACTAGCTAACGGTATATAGCTAGTAGAAGCAAGCGGGAGTGGCTAGTAGCTTAAGTAGCTATTACTTCGGACACAGGATAGTGCACGCTTCTTCAAGGAAGCTCCTCCCACCGCCCTAAAGGCAGCGAGGGGAGCTTCCTTGAAGAAGCACCGCCCGATTCATTTAGTTCCTAGATTTTTTGGGAAGCTTGAGGTGCTGAGGGCAACTTCTGAATCTTAGTTCTTGGAAATGTTGCAGGTCAGCTTTGTCTCTCCACATTTGCACAGGTCATATCTGTCCATTCACTAGCATTTACTTCGACTATCGAAGAACATTGAAGACGTCCCTTCGTCCATTCCCTCCACCTCAAGGCTTCCGAGAGCTTCTCCCGCTTCTCTTTGGAGGCGGCTTTCGCATCGTTCAGGGCCACGTGGGCTTGATCCCACACAGCCTCAAAAACCCGAGAGGATGACGGGCTTCTCTACTAGTAGCAAGGAAGCTATTAGGTGGAGGCCATCGCAAGTAGGTTGGAGGCCATCGCTACTAGTAACAAGAAGCTACTAGTAGCAAGGAGGATTAAAAACGAATAAGCTTAGGTATGTCGAGTCTGGGGATTCAATCCTCCCTGTCGCAGTCTCTCGGTCCGTTAGGGGGAATTCTGCAACACCGTAATCTCTCGACGGCCCACCTTGGCATTCTCCATTTTTGTCCGCAGCTCTTGCGCTTTTGGAGTGCTCGTGCTGTGGTGGTTCTGGTAGACTTCCCTCGGTCCCATCCGCGTTTCACAGGTGCAACTCATGCGATCTGCTTTCTCCAAGCAACAAATCAGCCTTGGTCTGCTTCAACTTGTGATCTGCTTCCTTCGCCGCAAGAGGTCAAACAGAACTCCTCTGAGCAACTGAGTTTGTGCACACGAGTTTCACGTCCGCCCACCTTGAAAGTGTGATTCTTCGAGTGCACCACTTCCAAGGATTCCTTGAACTTTTTGTCCGCTCTGCCCCCCTACTACTCATATCATTAAGTAGGAGTAGGCAGGCGCTTAGTTAACTAAGCAAGGGAGTAAGCTACTAGGCTAGGTTAGCTTGTAGATAGGAAGCAGGATAGCTAGGAAGGTCCCGCCGCCTTTAGGGGAGCTTCCTTGAAGAAGCGCTCGCACTAATGATTTGGTTGCTAGATTTTTTGGGAAACGTATATAAATAACATCAGTTTCAGGCCCAAGGCGCGTCATAGTTGGCCTGCGCCGCCTTCACTGCCGTCATAGCAGCCACTTCTTCGGGCCTCAGATGGTCGAATCCAACGTACCGGGAACGAGTTCAACAAAACCCTTCACTATAAGAAATAAATATAGTTTCCTTGGAATCGGTGTCCTCCTTTGATAGTCTATCATGTCAGTACTCTTGGCTCTCAAGGGTAATTCTTGGAACCAGCCGGCAAGCGGCGTATCAGGGCTCTGCTTCTCTCCCGACACAATACATCTGCCATTGTGCCATTCCGTGCCCTTTTCCTGGTCACAAACCTGGCTGGGAAAGGGTCACGGCAGTGGAGGTTGTGAGCCATGTATGTCACAATTTGGCTCGTTTGTCGCAGCCAATGTGTCACAATTTCGGCAAAAAACAACCCTGACATTCTTCGACCCCCCGCCTGTTTGGTCTCAATGATCATGCCTTAGAAGGCACACAAAGGACAAAAGGACGACACGGGGCTTGCACCAGGAGGACCCACAGGGTTCGCAAACGTGGCCACTAGAAGCAAGAGGAGGACAGTAGGAGGACCAGAGAAGACACAGGGTTCACCAGCGCAGCCAGAGGATGGCAGCAGCAGGAGAACAACAAGAAAAGAGAAGGAAAAGAGGACAGCGCGGCCACAAAACAAAAGGAGGACCGCAAGACCCGGACGCAAAGGCCGGACACAGAGTTCAGGGGAGCGGCCAGCTAGTGTGGCCAGCTCCTTTTTTCCGAAGAGAGAACCCCGACAGTAAATTGTATAGATTTATAAATTGATAGTAAATTGTTTGGGGAATGATTTACAAATTTTGCCATTCACCAGCCAGTCCCATTCTTGCCTGCGGACGAGGTACCAAATTTGTTGGTTGCAGGCGCTCCCACTACAGTGTTGCGGCCTTTCACCCTGCGCTGGGCCTCTGTCTCAGCATCCTGCAGGGGAACAAGCTAAACAGTGGCTAGCGGCTAGTTCATATCTCGAAGTTAAAGACATTGTAAATACCACACAGCGCCCGTGCAACGGGCGAAGAAATATCCAACCTCAACCGGCCTCACAAAACTACATCCATTGTAAGTTGTCAGCTCAAGGAACCAAAAAACATAGAATCATATGCCCTCATGGCCTTAATGGATTGAAGGACCATCATCTCGTTCTTCTCTGCCCTCAGAACAGCAAAATAGGCGGAATGTTGATTGAAACCTGTCAAACGATGCCTACTCAGTGTCACAGTGTTATGCCGCACAACGGGGACGCTGTCCAGTGTTATGTTTAGCTTCCTGACAATCAGTTCTCTTACACCCGCAGGCAAGAGCAATCTTATTGCATTTGTGCTGAAAGCCAACTACTCAGGGCACACATGCAAGTCTACATCACCAATAAAGCATCAACTTAGAGCTATATAGTAGGTTGGAACCCATCGCTAGTAAGTTGGAGGCCATAGCTGAATCCTTTAGAGCATACATCACCAATAAAGCATTGGTCTTCCACCACCCCAGCCTTCACCCCTTCACCGGCTGCGTCTGGGGTCCCATCTCTACTTGTTCCTCCTGTGCAAAGTCTCGGCGGCCATCTGCACTCAGGAGCTGCTCAGTGGCGCCCAACTGGGCGGAGGGCGGAGAGCCGTGGTGCTTCTTGTTACTAGTAGCAATGGCCTCCAACCTACTAGCGGTGGCCTCCTCCTAGTAGCTTCTAGTTTCTAGTACCTTCTTGTTACTAGTAGCAATGGCCTCCAACCTAATAGCAGTGGCCT